AAAGAGAGACTGAACAGAAGAAAAAGGAAGAAGAAAACATATTTTTACCTGCATGGAACTCACCGATGAGGATCTCCATCGATAGTTTACGCGGATCGAACATCTACTGTAGGTTACAAAATAATTCCGACAAACCTTAATCCACCTTGGTTGCAGCAAAACTGAAGACCTACATTTATTGAACAGAAGAAGCACAGCCAATGTCAATGTCGGCAGATACTATTTTTTTTTCCTTATTATGAATGAAAAGTATCATAACACACTTTTTTACACTCTCGCACCAACACTTTTAAACACAAAGAAACGTCTTTATTATCAGTTTAGAACATTTTGTTTTTACACATAAACAGCGTCTGCTTACACACATCTCAGAACCACAGTTCAAATCCAACTGATTTGGGTTGGGGTTTTTTTTTTGAGCACAGGGAATTTTAAAAAAAAGTACACAAAATCAATATGAACAACGAAATAATATAGCTTTCCAGGACACAAAGGATCAGAACCTAGTATTGCAACAGTCCCTGGTTGAAAAGAATCACAATCTCATGTGTCAAATCCACTGCAAATGAATGTCAGTACAATCAGGTAGGGGGGACGAAAATGCGTTAATGCTTGCGCTTCAGTTGTCTGTACAGGACGTATTTACACACCTGCCTGATGTAGAAAAAAAATGCATGCGACTTTGTGAGAACTTTCCGGTAGGTTCCTCAAAGCTACTACAGTGCTGGTAACGTCCCCTCCACGGAGAGCTTGCATCTCTCGTGCTGGTAACGTCCCCTCCACGGAGAGTTTGCATCTCTCTCTCTTTCCTTTACACAAATTAGCCATTGGGCTGAACTCCACCAATCAGAACTGCTCCAGCAGTTGTCGCAGGTAGGGGGCCCTGGAGAGCTGTCTGTTGACCCGGGACAGCTTGTAGAGGACGGGACAGTCGAGGGACACGCAAGAGATGTGGCGCTCCACGCTGCAGCTGCAGTTTCGACAAATCTGTGAACACACGATGACAGTGACTGTGACTAAATATCGGTTCAAATTTGAAGTGAAACTGAGGCCCCATCATTTAGTAAAAAACGGACTGTAAGGAACCTGCGGAAACAGTCTTTTGGGGTTGTCGAGTAAAAAGCAGTGCATGTTAAAGTTTGTTAAAGGGAAATTGTTGCGTTAATAGCAGATCGTGTGCCGTGGGTGGTTTGTCTGGGGCTTGAACCGTTTGTGTGTAAAGCCGTAACGTAACTCAGTGAGAAGAACACATCAGTAAATGGATGTGGAACTGCACTCTGACCGCCACCTAGTCCAGGCGTGGGCCACAATGGGACCCATAAAATTTGACGGCGGGGGCGGGTCAGGAGCCGATACATGGAGTTTTAGTTCGTATGAACTAAAACAAATGACATGTCGTAAGTCCTAAAGGCTAAAATGCTTTAAGCCTTTTCTACGCCATCTATGGAGAAATGCAGGCATTGCAGGGAAAACGCAGAAGTATAATGATAATAGAAATTAATAGGATAATTTAGATACGTTTGGTGGGTCACATTAAAAAGCCAAACAGGCCGCATCCGGCCTTCCGGGCTGTAGTTTGCCAATGCCTGACCTCGTGTATGTGGGCTGTAGCCTACATACCGTAAATATTGGTATCTTTATCGGCACAGAATTTCACAATCGGCGCATCCCTTCTACCAACAACACTAATATTACGCTGACTTAACATGACGCTACTATTAATGCTAATGCCGCCATTGTGCATAAAGGTTAAATGACCTCTATATGTCTTTTTTTTTTCTTTAAGTTTTGTTTTCCATATTTACACATTCAGACAAGTGTGTAACTAAAGTAGTTATTGTTATTTAATTGTTGGTTTACTCGACTGAAGTGGCTTTAAAAATAAACCTCTAAAAGTCACAACTGTTTTGCTATCTGTTCTTCCATTTTCTGTTAATCTGTTAGATCAGGCGTGGGCAAACTATGGCCCGGGGGCTGGACGTGGAATTGGAATTTTCCAAATTATGTTATTAATTTCTATTTTCACTATATTTCTGCCCTTCCCCTGCAATGCCCGCATTTCCCAATAGGTGGCATAGACAATGCTGAAAGCATTTCAGCCTTAACTGACTGACTTTTACGAGTCATTTTGTTTTAGTTCATACAAACACTCCATCTATCTGCTCCTGACCCCCCCCACCCCCTGTTCAATTTTAGGACCCATTGTGGCTCGCGAGTCACAGGTTTGCCCACGCCTGTGTTAAATGCTCTGATAAATTTTGTTTATCAACTAAACTTGAAGCCTACAAAGCTAAGATGGATGCTGCGATTTTTTTTTTTTTCACAATACAATTTTATACTTATCGGTTTTATATTTTGATACCATTACTTCATATTTTCTCGTTATTATACTATCTTAATATTAAGAGAAAGTATCTTATTATTTTGACTTAAGAATCTATTTTTTTTGGTCTTCCATACATACCGCCACCTACTGTACTACTGGTCTTCCATACATACCGCCACCTACTGTGCTAGTGTAGAGTGTGTAGTCTCATGGTATGATGTCACTTTTCGAGATAATGCAGCTTACTCCTTGCGCCTTGATACGCGATTTTTTTCCCCCGATTCAACTAAAGCGAATTGTCACGCATTTGTATTGTTTTTTTTTAACCGATTCACGATGCATCATTACATCCCTATTTTCGAGCGTAGGCCGCTAGGTGTTTACTGTGAGGGCAGCCATGTTTGATCGCAGTCTTAGCTTTATATTTTGAGGAAAAAAATAAAATAAATAAAGGTAAAATTAAAGCCTACAGCGATTCTTACCTTCAGCAGCTGCTCGTGCTGACTCTCCCATTGTCTTATGTGCTGGTTGAGGGTGACGGCGACTCTTTGCGGTTCAGTGCGGCAACTGGAGCAAACGCCCAGCTGGGTCAGCTGGTCACACACGGGGCAGTGGAGTGTAGTGAAGTACTGAGAGATGGTTCCCTTCCTCCCAGCATCCTCTCCTTTCATTGCTGAGGAGCATGAAGCTTTTTGGATCTGGACAGAAACAAGGAACGAACTTGTCATCGAGAAAAGTAATTTTGCGAGACACATTTCTGAGACGAACGATCGGATACTATCACTGTAAAATAATTATTAAAAAAAAAAAACATGAGTTGCAAACACCAACCTGTGTGGCTTGTGACCCGATTTTGACATCGCAAAGTTTCGCAAAAAACACGGAGCAGTCACATTAGTAGACAAAGTCTGTGTGGTCTTTTATTTTAATTAAAAAAAAAATTTAAAAAATATGTTACCCATAATCAATTCCTAGAAATTTCAGGCGCCCCCTAGTGGGTTATCGTATAGTATGCATTGGTGTCTTCGAGAAATGTTACTAACATACTTTTCGAGGGACAAAAAAAAACAAAAGACTGATCGCAGGACTGATGCTCCGCCCACCCCTCCCACTGGGGATGACTTTGGGCAGTGTCAAAGCAAAGGATGAGCAGTGAGAAGAAGAAGAAGAAAGTTGAGAGCCAATATTGCCTAGATGTTTGGCAGCCTGTTGCAGCTTCCAGTATCAGTTTCTTGTTCTTGTTGTGTTTTTTTTTTTTGAGTACTCTTCCATGGAGATTTACTCAGAATCCGAATGTTTCTGTTTCTTTTGGCTCTTGGTAGCGCAGAGCTTGATCGAAGACAGATGACTGTAGTTTATTTTGTTGTACCTGATATCGGTCTGGCAGTCGTAAAGCAAACTAGGTTGGTGTATTTGCTTAGTGTAATATTTTAAGAACATTTTTGAGTGCAGTGGAGTAAATCAAATAAAGAACTAAAGAAACAATCTGAAAATCAGATGGTCAGAAACAAACTAGAGGAAAGGGGAAAAAGTCACCCTCACCTTTCACAAATCTACTAAGTATTTTTTCTGGAAATATGCTTTAAACTAAATTTTAAAATCAGTTGTAGCCACTAGTCAGGTCAAGTCAATTTCACAAAACCCATTTGCCTAACTTAAAATATCCTCCTAAAACATTTTTAAAAATGGAGGTCTATACAGTCAATGTCTATACTGACTTTAAATTAACAGTCCAGACTTAAGCAGGATAAAGTTACACATTGAGTATCGTATTTTCCGGACTATAAGTCGCACTTTTTTCATTCTTTGGCTCGGTTTGCGACTTATACTCAGGTGCGACTTATATATTAAAATACATCATTTCACCTCTTCGTTAATTTTACACAGAGAGCCACTAGAGGGCACTCTAAGCTTGTGTACCAGTACCTGCTACTCCTGTACCACTAAAAATTTACATGTTCGTTATTTTTTCACTGACAGCCGCTAGAGGGCACTCATTTGACACCTTTCAGCAGCGGCCATGAAACAAGTAGTGGAGGCCTCTCACCCTGGGCAGTTCGTGGTACCAGCTGAACACGTCTACTCCAATCAGTTGGAACATGCGGACCAGAGGCGGGAGGATTTGCTTGGTGATGTAGTAGGTGGCGTTGAGTCGAAGACTGGGGTCCTGCAGGACATCCATGGGTCGACGCACTAGCTGGATGAGGGGCACCCCTGGTGTGCCATACACAATCACATACGGAACCCGTTCGCCCACGCGAGGCTCGAGGCGTCGGTCGTACGCCATCATTTGCCTGAAATCAACAAAAAATATTAACAAAAACAAATATTAACTAACCAATATTAACTATTTGCCGATATTGTGCAAACACCTAATTTCCGAATCCGATATGAACCAATACCGATGTAGTGGGGCAGTGGTGGAAGTTAAAACAATGCGTTTCTCAATTATTGATATCCCCTGATTATCAATATAGATTAATAAAATAAGCTACAATGCTGCCATCTAGTGACTAGAGGGTTGATTAGCGTCGTTAAAGTTCTGTGTTCATTTGTTATTGTGACAGTTGGGGAATTTTTCATTGTCGGAGTAAAAACCGATAATATAGGTCAGCCGATATTATCGGACATCCCTTATATATATGTATATAAATATATATATATATACATACATATATGTATACATATACAGTACATACATATATGTATATATGTATACATATATGTATGTATATATACATATATATAGATATATGTATATATAAGTGTACATATATATACATATATGTATATATGTACACATATATATATACATATATGTATATATGTACACATATATATATACATATATGTATATATGTACACATATATATATACATTTATGTGTATATATGTATACATATATACACATATATGTATATATGTATGTATATATGTATACATATATGTATATGTACATACATATATGTATACATATATACATACATATATACATATATGTATACATATATACATATATGTATGTACTGTATATGTATACATATATGTATGTATATATACATATATATAGATATATGTATATATAAGTGTACATATATATACATATATGTATATATGTACACATATATATATACATATATGTATATATGTACACATATATATATACATTTATGTGTATATATGTATACATATATACACATATATGTATATATGTATGTATATATGTATACATATATGTATATATGTATGTATATATGTATACATATATGTATATATGTATGTATATATGTATACATATATGTATATATGTATGTATATATGTATACATATATGTATGTACATATACATATATGTATACATATATACATATATGTATGTACTGTATATGTATACATATATGTATGTATATATACATATATATAGATATATGTATATATAAGTGTACATATATATACATATATGTATATATGTACACATATATATATACATATATGTATATATGTACACATATATATATACATATATGTATATATGTACACATATATATATACATATATGTATATATGTACACATATATATATACATTTATGTGTATATATGTATACATATATACACATATATGTATATATATATGTGTACATATATACATATATGTATATATATGTACACTTATATATACATATATCTATATATATGTATATATACATACATATATGTATACATATATATACATATACTGTATGTATATGGATATATACATATAGTATATGTCTATATATATATATTTGAATCACCCATTGAAAAAGACTTGAGGATAACTGCTATACGAAGTAGCTTTTTTTTTAACATTCAAAGTTGCTATTCTATAGGTAAGATTTATCATACGGGGCGTCTTTACTGACGATATCATCCCTACACTCACCTGGTGAGCTCCAGTGCAGACACGCAGTCCCGAGGCTGAAGGGAGCCACTCCCTCTGTATTCCTTGGCGAAAGTCAGGTCCTGCATGCTTGCCCGGCCATCCAGTACCTTCACACACTGATGCTGTACAAACTGTTTGACCTGGCTGATGTCCCGTGTCTCAAACAGCAGCTTAATGGAACGCTCAAGAACCTGGGAACGCCATGGAAACAAAAACAAAAAGCCACGCTCACAATACAACAAATATATGACTCGCGTCACATACAAAATCCTAATGGAGCTAAACTCTGGGACACCGCAATATATTCTACAACTAGGCCGTCCAATGAGTTACATTTTTAATGTGATTAATCACAGTAAATGATTGCAATTAATCATGAGTAATCCCGATAATTACGGATAAATCAACGTTCCCAAATATGGTTGAGTTCCAAACGATGTGTGTATCGCGGTGTATTGGAACAATAATAAGTGGATGGACATTGAAATGATTGGATACGCAGTACACTTCATTCATAGTATGTGTTCAAATTTAAATATGTTTATATGTATATTCTTAAGTATTTTCTGTCATGTCCCCCCTTGAGTACAGACATGTTTTCGCACCGCTCCCGTACCCACTGAACCACACCACTGCGAATTGAAATACTACTGAGAACCTGATAACATGTATATTTTTTATCTGTACAAACCACTGCATGAGTTGCTGCCACCTAGTGACTGGAGGCTAGTATTACAGCAGTGGTACACTTATGTCCATATGCGTGCCATATTCCATTGGAAGCGTTATGAGTTATGGTAGATGATGGTAAGATAAGGAGAGATGCAACTTATTAAAATCAAAACTGCTTCGCCTCCTACCTTGGAAACAGCTGGACAGTTGTCACGGCGCACTGTCTCAATCCCCTTAGCGTCAAACACTGCATCCTTCTGATCCAGACTTTCATACATGTAGCCCACGTAACGCTTCTTTGTCTGTAGCACGCAGGGCAGGTAGAGCTGGGATATGCGACAAACACGTCAAATAAAAAAAAATTAGTACATGATTAGCACATTTTTTTTCTTCTTCATTATGCAATTTTTGGCTTGTGTATCAGCATCTGCTACTCATGTACCACTGGAAATATACGTTTGTTATTTTCACTCTGACAGCCGCTAGAGGGCACTCTAGGCTTGTGTACCCGTTTCGGCTACTCCTGTAAGTCGCACTTTTTTTCACCCTTTGGCTGGTGCGACTTATATGTTATCATTTTTTGCACTTTATGGCGACTTATATATGTTTTTTTCTTCATTGTGAATTTTTTGGTTGGTTAAAATACGCTTAATATATTGGGGTAAAATTCTCCTTAAAATACGATCATTTTTTGCACCTTACGTTCAATTGACTACATCAATATACTTAGTGTTCAAATAAGACATTTTTTCTTTTTGCATGTGTGAGGGCTGACGAGAAGCTATTTTTTGTTCACGCGTGTAGTGAGTATACGGTACCTTTTCAAACTTCAGTTTGACAGGTTTGGGATTGGTTGCGGTTACTGCCTCAGCGATCTCATGGCCGATCTTAAATGCCTGCTCTTTGGTTGCTCCCTTCAGCAAAACGAACATGCTGGAAAAAAAAAAACAAACAAAACATAAGACAGCAATTTAATATGCTGCATTTTTAAAGGATGTTTTTCTTCTAAAATATGTCAACATTAGCACAATCACAACTTGCTGTTTCCTAACGGTACATTGTGCAGCACTGGGTATTCCTTGCAGTTGAAACTCGTTTCCGGACCATGGCATGCTGTAACGGAAGTACTATCAAGTCCTGTACCAAAAGTGTAGTGATTCAGGCCAAGAATTTTTTTTTTTTTCAAATAACATTAGGCTTTAGAGATTACCGTATCTTCTGGACTATAAGTCACACTTTTTTCATCCTTTGGTTGGATTTGCGACTTATACTCAGGTGCGACTTATACGTATATTAAATATATAATTTCACTTTGTTTTTTCACACTGACAGCCACTAGAGGGCACTCTAGACTTCTGTACCAGTATCTGCTACTCCTGTACCACTGAAAATTACCCTGTTCGTTATTTTTACACTGACAGCCACTAGAGGGCACTCTAGACTTCTGTACCAGTATCTGCTACTCCTGTACCACTGAAAGTTACCATGTTCGTTATTTTTACACTGACAGCCGCTAGAGGGCACTGGTGCGACTTATACTCCGGAGTGACTTGTATGTTTTTTTTCTTCTTCATTATGCATTTTTAGCTGCTGCGACTCATAGCCCGGAAAATACGGCAGAGTTATTGCACTACACATGAAAAGAAATGCACATCAGAACCGACACATTTTAGCTAAATGTTAGCTTGAATCCGTCCTAGAATTCTTTTCTGCCTTCAAACAGGGAAATATACTCCTATCTGTATGCGATTAGAGGAGCATACACTCAATGTGCTCACCTGTCCGTGTCACCGTACACAACACGAGCTCCCCATTTCTTAGTGTCGTTGACCATTTTGATGGCTCCCTCCAGTGTTTCTCTGGCTTTGTGCACAATGCTGTCTCCAACCTGGAAACCAAACAATAAAATAAGAAACAGACAATTTTTTTTTGTTTCCCTTTCTTTTTTTTTTTTTTGACAACAACCTGTAATGCACTCACCTCAACACAGGGCATGCGGCCAGAATAACTGGCTGCCGTGTAGCCAAAGGTTACGTTGGCGATGAGCTTGAGACCGAGCTGACGGGCGTGGAGCAGCTTGGTCAAGGCTTTGTCCTGTTTGTAGCTTTTCATAGACTGCTTCACCATGATGCGTGTGTTAAGGATTTCCTCCAGCATGCTGGGCAGGACTCCTTTACGCACCGCAGCCTGAATGGCAGAGATACTGGTGAAGTGTCTGCACTAAATTGCTAAACAAACCACGTGCAAACCCAAACAAATACAGTGGAACCTCGAAAATACGAGCGTCCCAACATACAAGTATTCCGAAATACGAGCAAGCCTTTGAGCCAACTTTTGCTTTGAGATAGGATTAAAAATTTGAGATACTTTGAGAGAAAATTTGAGCACGCTTACTGACGCCGACTCTAGGTGGCCGAGCACTCTCCCGCGATCTACGTAATTTTCTCTCTATTTTGTGCATTATTCTTCATAATAGTGATGAGTCCTAAGAAAGTGAGTGGTAAGGATGGTAGTGAGAAGAAGAAACGCACGATGACCATGGAAATAAAGCAGGAAATTGTCGATAAATATGAGCGTGATGCCCGCGTGAGTGATCTAGCGCGCATGTCTGATCACACTACATCCACGATATGTCCCATCCTAAAGCAGAAGGATGCTATCAAGAACGTAAAGTGAAGATAGAGTGTAGAGAGTGTAGAAAAGTAAAGACAACAAATCGAAAAAAAGCAACAAAAAAAAAAAATAGAAAAAATAAATAAAATACGTAAGTTAAGTTAATTCTAAGTTTATGTAAGTTACGTAGTGTACGTGTAAGGTACGGTACGGAATCAAGTGTCTACGTACGGGCCAAGTCTCTTCCCTCCCTCCGCACATTGTACCAGTATCTGCTACTCCTGTACCACTGAAAGTTACCATGTTCGTTATTTTTACACTGACAGCCGCTAGAGGGCACTGGTGCGACTTATACTCCGGAGTGACTTGTATGTTTTTTTTCTTCTTCATTATGCATTTTTAGCTGCTGCGACTCATAGCCCGGAAAATACGGCAGAGTTATTGCACTACACATGAAAAGAAATGCACATCAGAACCGACACATTTTAGCTAAATGTTAGCTTGAATCCGTCCTAGAATTCTTTTCTGCCTTCAAACAGGGAAATATACTCCTATCTGTATGCGATTAGAGGAGCATACACTCAATGTGCTCACCTGTCCGTGTCACCGTACACAACACGAGCTCCCCATTTCTTAGTGTCGTTGACCATTTTGATGGCTCCCTCCAGTGTTTCTCTGGCTTTGTGCACAATGCTGTCTCCAACCTGGAAACCAAACAATAAAATAAGAAACAGACAATTTTTTTTTGTTTCCCTTTCTTTTTTTTTTTTTGACAACAACCTGTAATGCACTCACCTCAACACAGGGCATGCGGCCAGAATAACTGGCTGCCGTGTAGCCAAAGGTTACGTTGGCGATGAGCTTGAGACCGAGCTGACGGGCGTGGAGCAGCTTGGTCAAGGCTTTGTCCTGTTTGTAGCTTTTCATAGACTGCTTCACCATGATGCGTGTGTTAAGGATTTCCTCCAGCATGCTGGGCAGGACTCCTTTACGCACCGCAGCCTGAATGGCAGAGATACTGGTGAAGTGTCTGCACTAAATTGCTAAACAAACCACGTGCAAACCCAAGCAAATACAGTGGAACCTCGGAAATACGAGCGTCCCAACATACAAGTATTCCGAGATACGAGCAAGCCTTTGAGCCAACTTTTGCTTTGAGATAGGATTAAAAATTTGAGATACTTTGAGAGAAAATTTGAGCACGCTTACTGACGCCGACTCTAGGTGGCCGAGCACTCTCCCGCGATCTACGTAATTTTCTCTCTATTTTGTGCATTATTCTTCATAATAGTGATGAGTCCTAAGAAAGTGAGTGGTAAGGATGGTAGTGAGAAGAAGAAACGCACGATGACCATGGAAATAAAGCAGGAAATTGTCGATAAATATGAGCGTGATGCCCGCGTGAGTGATCTAGCGCGCATGTCTGATCACACTACATCCACGATATGTCCCATCCTAAAGCAGAAGGATGCTATCAAGAACGTAAAGTGAAGATAGAGTGTAGAGAGTGTAGAAAAGTAAAGACAACAAATCGAAAAAAAGCAACAAAAAAAAAAAAATAGAAAAAATAAATAAAATACGTAAGTTAAGTTAATTCTAAGTTTATGTAAGTTACGTAGTGTACGTGTAAGGTATGGTACGGAATCCAGTGTCTACGTACGGACCAAGTCTCTTCCCTCCCTCCGCACATGCCGCCATTAGCGGCTACTGTATTGTCAATTAAAACCATGTTTTATTTTATATGTCTCTATAGCAATTAAAAACATGTTTTTCCATTGTTATTAACACTAATAAGGGACTTTTTTAGAGGGCGGGAACGGATTAATTTTCTTTCTGTTATTTCTTATGGGAAAAAACATGATTCGAGTTACAAGCTCGGGCCTGGAACGGATTATGCTTGTATCTCGAGGTTCCAGTGTATTCATACAACATGACAACTGATCTGGCCACGTGCTCAGCGAAGAGGTCAAAAGGCGGAGCTTTACCTTGACAAAGACGATGCCATTGGGCGACACAGTGATGTCGTTGCGAAGCTGGTGGAGGAGCTCAGGTGGAACCCTCAGAGAGGAACAGCCGAATTTGAACTCATCAGACCTGGGAAAAACACATTTATATATATATTTTTAGACTTTATTCTGTTAGTATAGGACTCTGAATGATTGGAAGATTGGAATGTAAATGAAAGTAAATGGATATGAGTAGATTCTCTTTGAATTACGTAAATTAGTAAAAATGAAGTCATAACATTGTGTCTCACTACTGAAGTCTATTTTTACAGAATATGTCCATCTCTAAGACAGAGACCTGAGAATGTGGGTCTTACATTCCAAGGCTGTCCACATGGCCCATGCAAGTGGAGTAGCAGTAGTTGTATGCGATAACAATGGAAGGATAGAGGGACTGGAAATCCAGTACGATCACTGAATTACTGTAGAAGCGCGACTCGGGCTCCATGACCAGTGGGATGCATTGCGGCGCCCTCTGTTGGGCACGTTGTTGAGTACTGGGAGTCACAGGAATGTAGTTCAGCGGCTTGGCCACACGAAGCATCATAGACTCAACGCGGTACTGTGGAGTAAGTAAAAGAGAAATTTTTTTTTTTATTATTTCATCCATGTGTAACCCAATGTTGCAAACAGACCAATAAAAGTAACTGAATCATAGTCTGATGTCACTTGTGAATACTAATTATGAAACAGGCTGATGAGGAACTATTAGAAGAAACCAAAGAGGCAACTTTTGGGTTTTTCCCTCGCTACAGAAAAGGTTGGTGTGCTTAATATAAAAACCAAGAGGACAAAAATAACATAAACATAAACAACATAAAATAAAATAAAAAGATAAAAAGAATTTGTATAGATTTCATTCACGGAACTACGTGTTTTTTGTAAATATTTATATACGTTTCAGAATATGATGCGTTCGACCCATAATAATATTTTTTTTAAATTATTTATAAAAAATAAATATGAACCAGAGACAATGTCAGTAGGACAATGACAGTACAAAAAAATGTTTTTATAGAAAAATATAATATATATATATATATATATATATACACATATATATTTATATATATACATATATATACATATACACATATATATACATACAGTATATACACATATATATACATATATACATAGTGTATATATACACATATATACACATATACATATATACATATACAAACTGAGCAGAAAAATATAGACAAACCAAAAGGAAACAAATCCCTTAGGTATGAAACAATTTGGCGTTACAGACAGACACTGTCATCACATCAGACAATATATGAATAAAATTAAAAATAAAACAGAACAACTATCAAATGTAATAGAGCCCATCATCTTCGGCTCTATGCATGGTTTACATATGTTTCATCTAAATTCCTTCTACTGTGAAACAAATCTTAGAGTTAGTCTAGCTCTAGCTTAATATTTCCAAACGTCTGCCATCGGACCAGTTTTTTAAGATGATACTTGGTAAGGTATCTGTAATTTAACCAATTAGAATTACTAAACAACAACAACTTAAATGGCTTCAGTAACTCCAGTAGCAAGATGTGAAATAAACCTTGTGTGTGTGTGTGAGGGTGTGTGTGTGTACCTGGGACCCTCGAGTCAGGACATGGAGGAATTGAATACCAAACAGTCTGGCCAGCTCGCTTGTTCTACCGATGATATCCTGCTGCTGCAAAAGCTGCATGATGCCACACACTCGACTCATGTAGTGGTCGACCATCTTCCACCTGCGGACACACAGACACGTCAGCGCATTCAGATTTCGCAATTGACTCGATGTAAGATTTTTATTTTTATTTGTGTTAAATCCGCTGATCAAGTTCATATATCAACCATCATTAGATCAGCTCTAACGCAAGTGAAAAGGTTAACCATATTTTTTGGACTAAAAGTCGCTCCGGAGTATAGGTGCGGACACACAGACACGTCAGCGCATTCAAATTTCGCAGTCACACCAGTCACACCAGTGCCCTCTAGCGGCCGTCGATGTGATAGTAATGAACATACATTTTCAGTAGCACAGGACACTGGTAGACAAGCCTAGAGTGCCCTCTAGTGGCTGTAAGTGTGAAAATAACTAATGTAAACTTTCAATGGTACAGGAGTAGCAGATACTGATACACAAGCCTAGAGTGCCCTCTAGTGGCTGTCAGTGTAAAAATAACGAACGGAAATTTTCAGTAGTACAGTAGTAGCAGATACTCGTACACAAGACTAGAGTGCCCTCTAGTGGCTGTCAGTGTAAAAATAACGAACATGTAAATTTTCAGGTGTAGCAGATACTGTTACGCAAGCCTAGAGACTCCAGTCACAACCGGAGTATAAGTCGCAAACCCAGCTGAAGGATAAAAAATAAATGCAACTTGTAGTCTGGAAAATACAGTAAGCCGTAGAAAATGTCAAAATTAATTAGGTTGTTAAGAAAAAGTTGGAACACATCTTGTCAGATTACACGAAACTGATTCACTGGAAAAAACGTCTCATTTAATTTAATACCTTCAACCAAGGTGACCTCTTTGGATAGTTCTTTATGTGTTTAAAATACTGTAGGAGATGGCGCTGTAACAATATCCAAACAAATGTGACAGTAGTCAACCAGTACACCTCGTGCTTTCTGGTGATGTTATCACATGACTGAGCTAAACCCTAAAATCTATTTAGTCTTAGCAGGCATCAGAGCCAAAGTATCTGGAAAAGTTTTATTTTGGTACAACGTGTTTGTACAACCAAACTTTTGTTTACCAAGAATCACAAGATCTCACTCCACTCATCCTCAAAAGAATCTTTAAGTCCTTTTCAACCAGCTACGTATACTTCGTGTTACATATATGTGTTACCTACCTGTAGAGGTCAGTGCTGTGGTCAAACCAGTCAGACAGAGTGCGAGGGGAGTAGAGGGGAAAGCGCTGGTGCAGCACATGAAAAGCGACATTCTCAAAAGTGTAGTTGTTTAGTGTAACCTGGAAGAGAAACAACAAACCAAAAAATCCAAATGGTGGATTAGTAACATTGAAAAATGTACGCTGTTAAAACAAATCACACATGGGAACTAGTTGTCGGGCGGATCGTACGAATATGTCGCAAGATGGCGCTATACGCAAAAGATGACTTTGCTAACAATCGCCGGGTTGTACGCCATACACTAGACTGCGCTACATTTGCTTTCTTTCGTTGTGGCTCCCAGGCGTCAGACTCTTCTGACGATTTTATGTCCTAGATCAGGGGTGTCAAAAATACGGCCCGCGGGCCAAAAACGGCCCGCTACAAGGTTCTATCCGGCCCGCTTGATGAATTTTGAAAGTAAAAAACTTCACGAACGGTTAATGTTTTGTCAAATGATATTTCACTAGATATTAATATTCTTTTCTATATATCTTTGCATGAAAACAAAAGGGGGAAAAACATGGACATATTGCTATTTATAGGTAATTATGTCTTAAATGTACAGGTCTGTTAATTTCAATTGATGGGAACCAATAGATTTAGGACAAATCGAATTGCTAAAATTGTAATTATCTTGCATTACAATTGGTTGATAAGACTGAAATAGAATAATAGAAAGAGATATTACGCTTTATGCTACCTTATTTCTGTAATGCTCTATACTGTAATGTCAAGAATTGGAGAATCTGCCCCCCAGAGGAAAAACCAAAAGCTGCAGGCTATGCCTGGACACCTGCCTCAGTCTTCATCACCCTCCACAGATTGAGGGTAACGCGGCCGATGATGTGGATTTCAGACATGGTATCGGCTCCGTACTCGTCCCTGTCTGCGGTATAGTGGTTATCTTTGGAGTCGTCTGAGAACACAAACAGAAGCAGAACGATGTTGGCAGGACGATATGCAAATAAATACGATAATACAACAATAAAACTGTATTTATTTATTTATTGTGCAAAGAAAAAGGGGAATTTCCCCTCTTTTTTTACTGATCTGCAGTTCATTTAAGAAGGCACTGTTTTTGTAGACTGAAAACAAAAAAAAAGAAGAAACAAATCTTTGCAAATTGGGTTTTTTGTGTCAACGCCCAACTGCATGAGATTCACATAACAAAAAAAAAACAAAAAAAAACAAAAACAAAACACAAACATAAAATACGACATGGTCGTAAGAGCCACATGAAACCAGGCAATGAACCTCATGCGGCTCTTGAGCCGCCGGTTGGCCATGCCTGGTCAAGTGCATCAGGCATGAATGAAGTGAATGAAGCGATGACTCAAAAATGCCATGTTTTGTATTCAGCCACTCAGTTTAAAGACCAGATTTTTTTTTTTCAGTCAGGTGGAACAGATAAAGCCTCTTAGATGTGAGGTGATACATAATGAGTTGGTTTTGTCCTACTACTTCAGCCACAATACTTGCTGACTAATGCAAGTGGTTTGGGTGAAAAGGTGTTACGGAGTATTGGGTAGTTTGATAAGCGTGCTTTCAAGTACTAGTAAGAGTGTATGAACAAGGGGTTGTTGGGTTAGGTAAAGTTAGGAAATGGCAGCACTTCTCAAATAGTGGGGCGGGCCCCCCCCGGGGGGGGGCGGGGGGGGGGGGGGGGGGGGGGGGGGGGGGGCC